ATAGGACTCCTATCACGGGAGACATTGGCTTGAAAACTTTCCATTGACTTTCCTGAAACTTCCTTAGAACTGCATCATTTCTACAACTTTTCCTGCCCTTCCTTTCCCGTCCTCTATAGGAGCTGAATCTGCAGCCAGCCCCCTTCAGATCCTGCCTTGTTTTTTCCTCACAGGTATGTCTCCCTCAATAAATCTTGTGCATGTCTAACCTGATCTTACTGTCTGCTTCTCAGAGAACCTGAACTAACACATCATAGTTGATCTGTCAGAAAATTTTCTGTTGTTTCTATGTCCTACATATCTCTTGCATCCACCCACTTCTCTCTATTGCCATTACCACTTGAGTAGAAGCTATGCCATTTGTCCCCTGGATCACTGCAACAGCCACCTACTTTCATTTTATGCTCTCCAATCCACTCTCATCACAGTAGCCAGAGTGATTTTTTAATAGTAAATCGATCATGCCACTTCTCTGCTTAAAACCAATTTAAACTCCTTCCACGGCCACAAGACGCTTTGAAAGCTGGCTCCTGCCTCTCTTTTCAACTTCATCTCCCATCACCTTCCCCCTGTCCCCAGGCTTACCAAGCTGCAGGCACACTCGTGTCCTTTCTCTTCCTACAAATTATCCAGCCCTTTCCTGCCTCAGGGCCTTTCTGCTTGCTCTCCCTTCTTCCTAAAATACTCTTTCCCATTTCTTCAGAGGGTGGGCTCATTCTCATCATTAGCACTCAACTTAATGTCCCCTCATCAGTAAAGGCTTCTTCAACCAAGCCGTCATCTCCACCCTACATTATCCTATTTCCTCCCAGGTAGTTGTCATTATCTGTAAGTCTTTTGCTTACTGTCTGCTTCTCCCACCTGAACAAGAGTAGGCAAATTATGGCCCATGGACAGCCAATTGTTTTTGTATGGCCCACAATCTGAGAATTTCACAACACATGAAAATTAATTTGAAATTAATTTTCACTGTTAGAATAATACACTAAACATGTTATAATAAAAATAATAAATTTGGAACACAGTCACTCACTCATTGATGTAGTATCTATGGCTGCTGTAACACTATAGCAGCAGAGCTGAGTGGTTGTGTATGGCCCAAAAAACCTAGAATATTTACAGAAAAAGTTTTCTGACTGTTGCACTAGAATGTAAGTGCCATGGGTCAGGGACTCTGATTGTCTTGTTCATTCCTTCACTCAGTGCCTGGTCCATAGCTAGTGGTTGAACCAATCTTCCCTCTCTCCAGTGACTATGAATATCTGAGGGGATAGGTAGGCTTACCTCTCATTAGCTTATTCCCTTCTAAGACCCAGTCTGAGGAATTGGGAAACAATTGTTATTGATTCTAGGAAAGTACCCTGAAAACAGAACTGTGTTTTATTCATCTTGAAATACCTAGCAAAGTCTTTGCACAAGGTAGGGAGGAGCTGGAAGCTGAAAGAACTCTTTTGGGGTTATGGTTGGGGGAACTTAAATAGAACTTGCAAAGGACTTAGCAGAATGTCAGGTGTACAGAAGTGTTCAATAAATGTTTGCTTCTGCCTCAATTTTCCTTGCTGTAATGGGAATAAAAATACAGGGTCGTCACATAGACTATATTAAACAAGAATGCTCTATGTGGAACAGCTTTGTAAACCACAAACACTACCCAAGTGGACTTATCCAAGAGCACTATATTAATGAATCTTGGCATTGAGCAGCCTAGTTTGGAGGAAAGGCACCTCTCTTGCGAGTGAGAAGACCTAACTCATCCTAACACTTGTCACTTGTTAACTGACCCTGGACAATTTGTTTCTTTTCTTCATCTGTAAAAGCAGCCTCTGAACGGACAACACTGTTCCTCGGAGGTCCAGCCCACGTCTCTCTGCCAGGCCTTTCTCCTCCTGCAGGGTACAAAGACCCCTCCGCTCATGCCGATCTCACCGGCTCGCCGCGACGGCCGGCGGGACCGGCCCGGGGGGCGGGGCGATGGCTCGGAGGGGCGGGGCCA